TCTCAACAATGCAAACATCATTTTTCAAGGTATTCCCTACACATCCTTAACTTTTGATCAAGAGTTATGTCAAAAGACTCTTACTATGATGGGTTATATCTAGGATCCAAGAGAAATTCGTTATCGATTCATTGTTAAGGCTACTAGTTCTCGGTTGGAAGAATCTGATGAGAGTGTTGAACACATAGAAGAGGCAGAAGAAGAAGAAGAAGAAGAAGAAGAAGAAGAAGAAGAAGAAGAAGAAGGTGAACATCCTATGGAGACTGATGATCACTATGACAGTGGGTGGCTAAACCAATCACCCCACTTGGTGCATGATGATGACCAAGGGTGGGGTGCCTGGAAACACACTGGCTGGACATCTTTAGGTGTCAATTACATGCCACAAACGTCAAATTGGGATCATCAAGACACCCCAGACTAGAGTTATGTGCCTCCATCTCCTCCGCGTCCCCAACAAAACACTGATGAACTCCTCGATATGATGAGGAGCATGCAGTTTGAACAACGTAACTTCATGTCTGTCCATGATGAGCGATTCTCGCAATTGCAGAACCAATTTCAAGCTCACATGGAAAACTTCAATTCCTTTACATCAGCAGCAATGGGTCGGATAGATGGGATAGTTGAAACTGCAGCAAGTCAACATCGGGCTCTCAACAACAGCTTCAACATTCTCAATCGAGTGGTTTTGGAGTATACAGAACGTGTTGATGCGCAACTGCCTCCACTTCCAAAATATCCCTTTCGAGGACGAGGCCATCACTTTAGAGGGAGGAGATCCTGAGGATGTCTTAAACATTTCATTATGCATCTTATTTCATCATGTGTTCATTAACATCTATTGTAGAATTCTTCATGTACTTACTTACTTTATGAAGACATGCTTATTGTTGGTTATGAAATAGTGATTATTGTTGTTCTTTTGAGTGTCATTCTATTTATCCATTTATATGCTTTCATTAACTGCATTATATGTGAATGTGTGTTGATGTTTAACCTGTTACAAATGACTTGAATTTGCTTATCTCTTTTATAATATGCAATGCATTAAAATCTATCTTCTTTCTTTTTAATGTTGTCAAAGAGGGAGAAGAATATCAAGTAGAAACATCACTTGTAAGACTTATTGAACATACAAATAATTTGCAGACAAAGGCATCAAGTAAGGGTGAGGATGATACAATGCATCGTACACCAATTTTTTACCTTTTTTCCATCATCAAAAAGGGGGAGTATGTGAGGGCAAAGTTTTGTCATAGTTAGCTATACTTGTTTTAATGATGTCGAAACTTAGATAGGTAGAAAAATGTACTTTGGACGGTATGATTGTGTCGCATATGTATATCTTATTCCTCTTGAGTCAAACATCGGTCAAAACATTGTTTGATACATATAGAAATTGTTCAATATATGCTCCATATGGGTTTGGTCATGTTTGTCTAGCTTGCTATATGGTGGAGTATCTCAAAAGTAGCATAATACATGAAAATATGCATTTTTGCATATTTTTTTTGTCTTTGAGTCGACTCAAACTTTGTTCTGGTCGACTCATACAGAAAGTATTTTGCATGGTCTACTCTCAGGAGTGCTCTTGTCGACCCTCCGGTCGACTCATACTGTGTCCATTTCTGTCTATCTAATTTTGTATACTTTGCATCGACGTATGGCCTATTCCGGTCGATGCAAGGTGTTGTTTTCTGCATAATCTAAAATTCGGGTGAGCTCAGGTCGACCCTTCCCTATGTATAGGTCGACCGCTCGCGCATTTTTAGTTAAATTTCTCTTATGTGAAACTGTCTAGGTGTTTGTTATGTTGGTTAATTGTTTTTGACTTGTATATATAGTGAGTTAGCTTATTCTTCAACAAAAAAAAGAAAAGTGAAAATAGACATTGATTTTGTTCTCATCATCTTCATCGTCTTTCTTGGATTTTCTCAACAACTACACATAATTATTTTTGTTGTGCATTCTGCAATTTAGAGGTGATAACGTCCAACATAGGATTGGTGTAATCGGTCGGGTTTGGGTTGAGATATCAGTGGGTTGTTCTTGAATAAAACCTTTAAGGTTTTATCCTCCAAGAATCTTATATTTTGGGGGTTTTTTCACGAATCGGTCCATCACAGATTCAGCCGAGCGAAGGTAATCGAAGAATGGGTGGTTCTGTCGGTTTAGTAACGGTAACCGGAGGATTACGAGAGGAAGATTCAGGTTCAAAGCGTTGGTGATTGAAATCAGTCGGGAAAGATTTGAAGACCGTGGGGTTATTCAAAGGGTGTGCCGTAATTGAAGGTTTATTCATCGTGTTCGAATGACTTGATTCAGCTTGAATCAAGGGAAGAGAAGGAATAGGCTCTGCATCAACAATTGGGTTTGATCGTTTGATTTCTATTGTTTCTCTTGTAAACATTTACCAATATGTTATATATACAGGTCTCAATTCTATTTTTAGAATTGAGGGCAGATGTACGTCGAGCGAGGACGACGGGGGAACTGCCTCAACAAATTGGTGTTCTCTCTTTATTTTTCAATTGCTTAATTTCTGAGTTTATGTGCAAACAATTTAGTTGATCAAATTCTGATGTGTGTAGTGTTGAACCATTTTTAGAAGCTTATTACAATCCTTGATTGTAACTGAATACTTAAGCACTTCACTCACATATTGGAATTCACTTGTGGTGCCTTACACACCAAGTGTTTGACTAATTGTGTGAACAATAAACGTTTGTACTGTCTTTTCAATTGGTTTATATTTTTTTCACGCATTGGAAATAGTCCAACCTCATAGTGAATAAATTCTAGTTAATGTGTGTTCAAATTAGTGATTCTTAATCTCGTTTTATCGGATTCCATAGGCTTTGCGTATATCCGGTATTTTCGGTAAAGGTTCATTTTAGACGAATATAGTTCCTTGGCCGCTTCTGCCTAAAAAAATTTTAAAATCAAATATTGGTAGTGCCGACTCTGTTTTTAACAAGTGATCTATTCAACCCCACCCCCTTCTAGATCTGCGCCATTGTCTAACACCATTTGTTGGTTGGCTTGGGTAGTGTTTTGTATTATAGGATTACAATTTTTCCACATTGTTTGGGCAAGCATTTGGACCATTTTATGGTTACTCTTATCCATTTGCTGCCAAATAATCGCTGCAGAACTATTTGTTAATCCTGGCATTTGGGTGGAAAAACCTATCCCTAAGGGTTGGCCATTTCAACCCATGTTATTAATCCCAGACCCTAACCCCTACAATAGGGAAGTTACATTTACTACGGGTTCAGGAAATGTTGACCCCATGTTATGCTAGCTCGCCATCACATATGTTGGCATTTCGTAAGGCTGCTATCGACTGCCTAAAGGCATGGAGAGACCTGGAGGCAAAAATAAATAACAATTAATAAACCAATATGTAGTACAGTATGGCAAAAACATATGTTATAAAATATTGATTTCACAATTTTAATAAATCAATAAACTAATATTTACGACACTTTAATAAAACAAAGTATAGCAATTTGTAAGTTAATTAAGGTTTTTATATAAATAGAGTTAATTGGTTTATAAAAATGAATCTGAGCAATATGTTGAAATTGATTTCAACAATTATTTAGGATTTAATGAAAATAATTCGAACAATTAATTTATAATCATATATTAACGAGTAATAATTGAATCCTAACTCATATAATAAGTTCTAATACTAAATGTAAGCGGAAATACTTATTGATCGATTATATAAAATTAGAATATCAATACTTACTTGTTGAAGTCATGATTCGAAATCTCAAAAAGATGAATAACTGGATCTTCCTCTATATCTCAAACTCTCGTTCACAATTTTCAATGAGACAAGTTATGGAGTCAGTTGTTTCTGATTCTAGTGATTACAGAGGGACCTAACCATATAATATATATAACCTTAATCCTTATTCATTATAAGTCCAACGTTAAAGTCCATACTTTTACCCATACCAATTTGATTTTAGATACTCAACTTTTAGTTATAAAAGAGATCACTTAACTAATAACAAATCTTATATATCACCCTATCATTATCATGATTAATCTGTTTTTACAAACTAAACAATAATTAATTATAGCCCATAAAAAATTAGATAAACCTAACTAACTAACTAACTAACTAACTAACTAACTAACTATATATATATATATATATATATATATATATATATATATATATATATATATATATATATATATATATATATATATATATATATATATATATATATATATATATATATATATATATATATATATATATATATATATATATATATATATATATGTATATATATATATATATATGTATATATATATATATATGTATATATATATATATATATATATATATATATATGTATATATATATATATATATATATATATATATATATATATATATATATATATATATATATATATATATATATATATATATATATATATATATATATATATATATATATATATATATATATATATATATATATATATATATATATATATAGTTTAAAGAAAAGAGGAGTATAAAAGATTGTAGAGACAATATTATAAGAAAATTATAACTTGTTATTCAAAGGTGTTCAAAGGTGTGCTTACAAATGAAACTTAAATCCCTTTATATAGGGAAGAAAAAGGCTTACTATTTAAGCCGTAACTAAAACTTACAATAGCCGATAACTTGTATAATTATTGTCGGGTACTCTTTGGTCCCCATCGTCACAACAATTCACAAGAAACTACAAACTTTAAAAGATAGAAAATGCATGCCTAGAAATTCTAAATACAAGATAAGATTCTTATTCCCTTGTCTTTTACAAAAGATAGAAAATGCATGCAATTATGCCTAGAAATTATTAAAGACAAGATAAGATTTCTTTGTCTTTGACTTTTGGAAAGATTCTTCTTCTATTATTTCTTGTCCTCTAGCCTTTGTCTATTGATTCTTATTTCATTGTTTCTAGACAAGATAAAAATTTAATTCTTTGTTTTTCTTATATCTTTCATGGATGAAATCATTGCATCCCAGAAATCTTCTGCAGTAGGTTCATCTGCTTGACCTACTCCTGCTAAACCATCAAAATTATGAGAATCCATTGATCCCATGGAAGAGCTTGTCTTCATAGATGAATCTTCATCTTTTGATGCTTTTGTTAGAAAAGTAGAGAAGAATTGGTTCTTCATATGATCCAAAATCCTAACCATGATTTCATCTTCTGTTTCATTGGGATATTTCCTCTGGAAGAAGTTCTTCCAGTTTTTCATAGACATTTGTTTGGAACTCATCTTGTTCCACCATTTATAGAAGAAATTTCTTTCTAAAATGGAAATGTTGAATTTATTTTTTGATATGGTGATTGACCACCTCCATATCCATGGAATCTTAAATTTAGTAAAGAACAAAAATGGACATTGTCCAGTGATCAAATTATCAGATAAATTTTTTACAATAAGTGGACTATTATCACACCATGGATGGTATAAGTTAAGAATTTCTTTAGAAAGAATCTCCAAAGATGGACCAAATTTAGCCCACCATTCATAAAACCAATTTGGTATAGGTTTATTAACCAACTCTTGATTGATAGAGAAAAACCAAGAATGCTTGTTCATGGGATTTTGGTAATAAAAAGCTTGAGCAAAAGCTTGGACATAATCCCAATAATTAAAATAAATATACTTTCCTTCTGCAATTCTTATTGCCTTTTTCGCATTTGGGTTGAGACCCCATTCTCTTGGTAACAAAATTTTGTTAATGTGACATTTACTGAAGTTTATAAAACTTTTAGGATTATTGTTTTGGTAATGGTGAGTAATTGTTACCGATTCGGTAACGGTCAGGAGAATTTCTAGGTTGGGCCTAGATTTTCCATGAAGACCTGGATATCCTCTTGATTCGAGGTATTTAGTTTTGATAGACCACCCATCATTTGGATTTATCTTCATATCTTCATCATCAATATACATGATTTTTTCAGTTACTGGATTTTCAAAATAATCCATTTGTTCTTGAGGTGGGTTATTAACCGCAACTTCCTTGTAGGAATTAGTTTTATTTGAGGAAGAGGAAGCAATATCTTCCTTTTTTGCTGAAGATGCAGGTAATTGCTGCATTTTTCTACCTTTGTAGACAGTAGTCCAATCCCCTATTAGAGGAATGTTTGATTCTGGCTGGGGTAACATATTATTATTCCCTCTCCCACCACGGCCATAACCGCGGCCTCTACCCCTATACGGGGTCATCATTTTTTCCCTGCAAAAATTATCGAGTTAAATAATCAGCAAGTGAATTATTTTCACCTTTAATGTGTTGGATATCAAATTCAAACATAGATAATTGCGATTGCCAACTAGCAAAAATTTACTTAGAAACAAGATTTTTAACATCTTTTTCGATAATTGATTTAGCTGAGCTACAATCAATTTTTAATAAAAAAATTTTATTAAGAAGATCATCTTGAAATTTTGAAATGCATTTTATAATAGAAAGCATCTCTTTCTTGATAGTTGAATATTTTGCTTGTGTTGGATTCCATTTTCCAGAAGTAAATCTAACCAAAACTTCCTTTGATGTTTCAGGTATTATTTGTTTAAGGATTCCTCCATAGCCTAAGTTTGAAGCATCATTTTCAACAATTTTGAAATACTTAGGATTAGCAAGAGATAAGCAAGGCAAGCATTTTACCTTATTTTTAATTCTTTGGACTGCCTGAGAATGTTTTTCAGTCCAAGGGCCAGGATTATTTTTAAGCCTAGCATGTAATATTGCCGTATCTTTAGCAAGATTTTCATAATAATCTGCTATGTAATTGAGGCTACCAAGAAACCTTTGTAATTGTTTCTTATCTGTAATAATATCAGGGAATTTAAAAGCAAATTCAATATTTCTTTGTATAGGAATTATAGTTCCTTGGTCAATTTCATGTCCTAAAAATCTAAACCTTGTTTGAAAAAGTTTCATCTTAGGACCAGATATTACTAATCCATTATGCTTAATTAATCCTTTGAATATTTTCAAATGTTTAATATGTTGATCTATAGTTTTTGAAAAAACTAAAACATCATCAATATAAACAATTATAAATTTCGTATAAGGATTAAAAATATCATTCATAATATTTTGAAATTCAGAAGGGGCATTTTTAAGACCAAAAGGAAGGACATTCCATTCATAATGTCCAAAAGGTACGGTAAAAGTTGTTTTATACTTATCAGATTCATTAATCTTAATTTGCCAATAACCAGATTTCATATCAAATTTAGAGAAGATTAAAGCATTGTTTAATCTATCTAAAAGATCTTTTTTATTAGGAATAGGATATCTAATCCATTTTAACACTTTATTAAATGGTTTGTAATTAATAACGAGTCTAGGAACTCCACGTTCCTTTTCTGCAGCATTATTGACATAAAAGGCTATGCAACTCCAAGGAGATTTGGATTTTCTTATTAATTTTTTGTCCAAAAGAGATTCTATCTATTTTTTGCATAAATCCAAATACTCATGATTCATTTGAGCAGGCCTAGCTTTAGTGGGAATCTGACTTTCATTAAAGTCATCAAGATAAGGTAAGGAATAACATGTTTCTTTCTATCCCAAAAGGCATTAGGTAAATCATTGCATATTTCTTCTCTAAACTGTTGATCAATTAATTTAATTTGATTTTGAATTTCAGGATTTTTAAGTTGAGAAGTGATGTTTAATAAACCCACTTCTTCTTTAAGAAAACAAATTTGTTTTTCTTTTTTAAGAAGAATATCTTTAACTTCATTAATCATCCTAGTATGAGGATCAGTAATAAATTCAAAAGTAATTCTTTTATTATTAATAATGGAGGTAATTCCCTTTTGATCAACATTAATTAGAGGCATAATTTTATGCAGAAAGGGAGTTCCTAATATAATTTTATGAGTTAAGTTTTTCACAAGAATAAAGTGAGTGGGTAAACAAATATCTTTGTTACAAACATAAGCATTAGACAGTTTATAATTAACCGTGAGTTTATCTCCTTCAGCTTTTGTAAGAGATTGAGTAGTTTTATCAAAATACTTAGTGGGAATAATTCCCTCTTGAAGGCAGTTTGAATAAGCGCCACTATCAATAAGGGCAACTTCATTTTCTAATATGAAATTTCTATTAATCACTAACGTTATTCTAACAAACCATTTTTGGGAGGTCACTCTAACAATGAAGGAAAGGAAATCATCACTAGGTGAAGGATTACTAGTTGAAGCTATTTCTTCAACCCTTGAATTATTGGACTCTAAAAAAGTGACTCTTTGAGATAAACCATAGTTTTCTTTTTTAATCTGAGATATCTCATTTTTAAGAGGTTTATTTCTCTATTTAAATCCATAATAGAAACGGGTGTTTCACGGATGTTAGACTGTGTAAACCTAGACAAAACCTCACTTAATTGGTAAGGCGCTTCAGTAATAATGGGAAACTCTTTTTTAGAGTTTCCTTGTATTAAGACTTCAAGCATTTTTCTTTTTAGTTTCTTATTAGAAATGAACTCTATAGCCTTTATAGCTTCATCCTGTTCTGAGGTTAAAACATTTAACCCATTCATATCAACTATTGATTTCCAGTAATCTAATTGATTGCATTGACAATTATTATTGTTAGAAGTTTTAGAAGAGCAATTAGAAGAAGATTCATAAATCATATTAATATCTTCTTCAGAAGAGTAATCTTCAGAATCAGAATTGAGAAGTAAAACTTTCTCTAATTGAGAACGTAATTGTTCATCTTCTATTTCATTAAGAGCCTTTTTAGTCCAGCATTAGTTGGCATAATGGCCCGGTTTGCCACATTTATGACATGTTATGTCAAGTTGTTTGGCTTTTCTCTTTCCTTTAGGGTCAAAAGATTTTTCTTTAGGTCTACCCTTATTGTAGTGACCCTTTTTCTTATTCTTATAAGATTTTTCCCACGTGTTTACCACGTCATAAAACACACTATATAAATCCAGAACTCAGAACTCTTCACGCATTTCTTTTTTCTCCTTCCTTCTTCCTTCTTCCTTCCTCCTTGCTTGCTTTCTCTGCTTCCTCTCCTCTTTTACTGCATTTCACAAAATTTTACATTTTCATAGGTATGGTTAATGTTTTATTTATTATTTTATATTCTTTTTATTTTTGTTTTTGTGTTATATTTTATTTTAATATTTTCTCATTATTAATTTTTAATTTTTTTCTTTAGAAGATCAAGATTTGGAAGATTCAAGAGTAGCTCATCAAAATTAAAGATTTAAGCTTTATTTTTGCTCCATTGAGGTATTTATGTAATTTAAATTATTTATTTTTCAAATTTATAGGAATAATATTGTATATGAAATGTTTGGTTGTTGTTGTATAAAAACAGAATTTATTGATTATATTTGAAAAACCTAATATATATTATATTTTAAATGAGAATAATATTGATTATATATGAATATATTGTATATGGAATGTTTGGTTGTTGTTGTATTTAAATATTTTATTTTTATTAAAAACAGAATATATATTATATTTTTAGTATACATAATTGTAAAAAATAATTTTTAGAAAAAACAGATGAATATATATTATATTTTAAATGTGATATTTTTCATAAACAAATTATATATTATATTTTATAATATGTATTATATTTTAGTAAAAAGAATATATATTATATTTTAGAAAAAAACAAAATTTTTGAAAATATTTTTAATAAATAAAATTGTAAATAGAAAAATCAAAAAGTATTTTTTTAAAAACATAATGTTATGTAGATTAGAAAACAGAATTGTAAATATTTTTAGAAAAAGTATTTAGTAAATAGAATTATTTTTTATAAAAAAAATATTTTATAGAAAAAATACTTATAGAAAAAAATTTCGTAAAATTTAAAACAAAAATAATTTGTAAAATGTATAATATTAAAACAAATAGAAAAAATATTAATTCACAAATAATTAATATTAAATATATTTTTATTAGGTTAAAATGTATAATTAGATTTTATATTTTTATATTTGTATTTATATTTTTACACTAAGAAAATACTTTTAGAAAAAGTATTTAGTAAATAGAAGTATTTTTATTAAAAATTATTTTTTAGAAAAAATTACTTGTAAAAATATGTTATGTAAATTTATTAAAAACACAATTCATAAAAGAAATTTATTTTAAAAAATAGAATGTAAAACAAAAATAATTCGTAAAATGTATAATATTAAAACAAATAGAAAAAATATTAATTCGCAAATAATTAATATTAAATTTATTTTTATTAGGTTAAAATGTATAATTAGATTTTATATTTTTATATTTTTATAGTAAGAAAATATTTTTAAAATAATGGTACAAAATTAGGTTGTTGTATAATATGAAGTAATATTTTTATTTATATTAGTTTAAAACAATGTGAAAAGAATTATATTATTTTGCATATATTAAAATTACATATTTAATTAAAATGATATATAATGATAGTACAAATGTGCAGTACGAAATATTTTCGTTACTATCGTAGTTGAATGTACGATAGAACGTTACCAGGCAGACGTGGACTTACACCAAATTTTGAGGAAGGAGTTAAAGGGTTTATCACGTGGACATTTGCACAAGAATGTTGTCGATGTGAAGGAGGAGTAAGATGTCCTTGTGTGTGAGATTATTGGCCGCAAAGTCAAATTGGAATGTTCCTGATCAGTGCTTGGAATACTTTGCCAAAATGATGTTGCATGTGACTCCTATGAAAAACAACTTGCCTACAAGTTATTATGATGCAAAGAGGTTAGTGTCAAAGTTGGGTTTAGAAGTATGAAAGATTGATTGTTGCATAAATGGATGCATGTTGTTTTCTGACAATGAATTTGGTATTAATAATGAGGCGCTGGAGGAATGTAAGTTTTGTAAGAGTCCGAGATATCAAGTTTGTAGTGTGAGGGCAAAGCCTCATATATAGATGTGCTCGTTTCGATGATGTCAAAACTCAGCTTCATAGAAAAATATATATTGGACGTTGTCACCATGTCGTATTTGCATGTCTTGTCTCTCATAATTTAAATGCTCGCAAGAATCACGATTGTTGCATATAGATGGCCAAATATGTGTGTCATATAGGGTTAACTTAGTTGGTGTTGTTTGTCATACTATAGGTTTCACCAAATGTGTTGTAAAGCATGAAAATATGCATTTTTTTCTTGTTTCAAGGTTTTGAGTCGACCAAAAAACCTGCTCCGGTCGACTCACCCTGCAAGTTTTTTTAGTGC